CAATCTACCTGTCTCCAAAAAGCCCTCATCTGTGGCTTTACTTGTTCTTTCTTAGATGTTTTGTCTCAAAAATAAATAAATAAATAATTAATAAAATAAAATAAAAAATAAAAAAAAAGCCTTTACTCTCAACAAGGTTTCGCTTTGCTCATCTCTGAAACAGGTCCTAATACCACAGCTTCACCATACTGAGAAACCTCTGTCAAAAACGAACTTAACCACTTTTTGATGGGAATGAATTCTTCACTTGAAAGCCATCATAGAGGCTGAGGAGCATTACATATCCTTTCTCCCTATCAAACAAGACTGTGTTCCCCTCTCCCCTGGGGCAGTGCAATAGGGCATCTCAGTGGGCAAGTACCTCACTGGCTAAACTTTCTGGTTTGGCCACCAGGACTGAACCAAAAAGATAAAGGTGATTCACTGCCAAAGACAAAAACTGACCCCTCTTTGGAAAGAACAGACCATACCTTGTAACCCCTGCTATATATTTATGGCACCATAAAAGTAAAAACCAATCAACCTTTCTACATACCTTAGCAATGTGCAAAACAAGTATTTCTAAAAACTGAATCTAGGGGTGCCTGGGTGGCTCAGTTGCTTAAGCAATGGACTCCTGTTTTCAGCTCAGGTCATGATCTCATAGGTTGTGGGATCAAGCCTCAGGTTGGGCTCTGTACTCAGTGGAGGATTCTCTTCCTCTGCTCCTCCCCCAACTCATGCTCACACTATAATGAATAAATTAAAAAAAAAACTGGATCTGCTCCCACACGCCACAAACTAGAGAAATAACACCAGTGCTTATCACCTGGATTGACAGGTGTTGACAGTTGGAAGGGGTTAAAACAGCCTTCTTCACTGTTCAGGGAATGGCATCAGCCTAACCACCTATATTTGTTCATCCTGATTAGAAGTCAACAGAAAATATAGCATTCCTGGATTATTCTGCTACACAGTGATGGAACTGTAACTTGGAGAATCAGTGTTTTTAGGAATGGATAGGACAGCCCTTTCAGGGTATAATATAATGTCATCCACTGCTAGGTGAAATGTGCAACTTCAAGAAAAACAGAATTGTAATAATACAATTGTCCAGATTTGTATGTACCAGTAATTATAATTTGTATGTACAAGTAATGCTTATGCAATTTTAATAAGAAAGCGGGCTTAAAAGATTGCCTCATAAACCCTCCTACCTATACTAAATAAAAAGAGCACAGGGTGCATTTAGAAATAGGTTGGGAAGGAAATCTGAAGAGCAAAATTAGTGGATCATATGCAAGTCTAAATTTCACATCTTAAGTGTCACCAAGGAGGCAACAAAGAGAGAAATTGTAGTAGCAGAGTACTATGTGACTCAAATTCCATTTATTAAAAGTTCTCTGTTGTTGGTTTTTTTCTCTCCCTTATTGTCAGATTTAATCATTTCAGGCTTGTTCTTTTGTTTGGTGCTAACCAAAGGGATTCCACTGCTCAGTATTGAGAATCTGGCTAGTAGAAAGAATCTCGATAAAAGGAGAAAACATACTCCCTCTTCCTTTACAGCTACAGGGGAGTGGACACTTCTTGCTTCATAAAACTATTTCTGATAAAATGGTAAACTGAGGCTAATCACAAAGATGTGTAACTTAGTCTGCTCTCCAGTATGGAAACCTGCATCAAATATACAAACTCTGGGCAGCCTGGGTGGCAACAGTGGTTTAGCGTCGCCTTCAGCCCACAGCGTGATCCTGGAGACCCGGGGTCGAGTCCCGCATCGGGCTCCCTGCATGGAGCCTGCTTCTCCCTCTGCCTGTGTCTCTGCCTGTCTCTCTCTCCTCTCTGTGTATTCTCATGAATAAATAAATAAAATCTTTAAAAAATATATTCAAACTCCAATTTTCTAGTTAACAAAGGGGTTTTTAGACAGCTGTGTCATGGCCTCAGAAAAAGTGGAGAGGAGCTCCAAAAGGCAACCTTTGACCTGTAAAAAGGGTGCTTTCAAACTGGGTGCCTTACTTGATAATTTGCTGTCTTGGTCATAAAATTTAAAGTAGCACCTGCAATTTTTAAAAAAAGTACTAAGTATTCATAAGACTTTCTTATTTCATTTTTTTGGTTGGCCACAAGAACTTGATATTCTTCTCTTTTTCCTTTATGCATGAAGTATAAATAATGTATTCCAGTTTCAAACTTTGGGTCTTTGTCTTCTTTAAATGATCGTACCCAAATTCAGCTGGTGGATAAACAGACACAAAAAGCATGAGACAAACTCATCTGCTAAAGAACAAAAGAGAAAAACTAAAAGGGATTTTGAAAGAATAAGCACATGTATACATTAATTCAGGATTGTTTTTCCTTCTAACTTCCTCCTCAAACTGGAGGGTGTCAGACACTGGTTTAACTCAACTGGCCAAGTTACCATCACACTTCACTTAAATCCTTGTGCAGAGAACGTTTGGGTAACTGCTCTGCTCTACTCCTTGGCCACTAACCCCACCAGCCCACTTAATACACGCATCAGGAAACAGTCACCTAATCTTTCTTATTTTGGGTAGATCATCACCCTATTGTTGATAAATTATCATTCCCAGGATTGGCTTAGCACAAACAGGACACATCTTTTTCTTTTTCAAATATAAAGCTCTGATTCACCAAGTCTTTTCAGTACATTGTAACTGTATTTCTCCTCAGTTGTGTTTTACCTTCAGCTGCCAACATAGATTTAAAACCAACGCAGACATACTGGAAGAACATCCAATGCAACTTACTGTAGGTGGATATGACTGGATTTTTTTTTTTTGCTGTGAAATTTGAGTCATGTTTGCGTAATGAAATAAACAAACTAAAATGCAGAGCAAGCATAAGAATCAGCCCTTAATCAGTATCTTTTAAAAAAATAATTTCAGCTAAGAAGAAAATCTATTCACTTTTACAACCTGCTGACTCTGAAAAAAATGACTGACATCATCCCATTTTTAAAAAGAGCTTTAAAAAAAGTCTCTTCTGTTTGCCTTCATAGAAATGGCTAATTTTCCTCTTAATTGTTTATTGTAGAAAATAAAAGCCAAAGGAAGAAATACAAATCATGAATAGTCTTTTAAAAGTCTTTTGAATGTGAGAGCTCTTTATTACCTGGGAAGCCCCATACAAATGCAAAGTAGGATTAAAATCACCTCTGATACTAGGCTGGCCTCTACACTGGTACAGATCTTCCAAGGGCTCAGGCACATTCTGGGGAGTCCTTGTGCCCACAGCTGTAGAAGCCCCCCCCCCATTAAAAAAATTAAAAAAAGCCACAAAGCCCTTTAATCCACGGCCATGGGAATCCCTAGACCCCCATCTCACACCCCATGTGCTATCTCCTACTAGCCATTCCTGCCCTGTTGGGGTACTGGCTAATTTGGAAACTGTGGGGAAGGAGCAGCCCCTTCTTTACAATGCTGGAGGTTCCAATCATAAGCAACTTTTGTTCTTATGTCAAAGTGAATCGTTTTCCTATAAATACTACTTGGCCTCTTCTGCACTTGGGAATTACTCTAAATACAGACACTCCCTTTGCTGCATGACAAACCTTAAATATCTGAAAACAATGAGGACACGTTCACTTCTCTGCCCAAATCTTTCTGCGCGTTTAAACATCAAAGCTGGAGATGTGAAAATTGGTGTTGTTAAGCTAGCACCTACCTAACTAGTCTGGAACTTCAATATGAGCCAAACATTTATTGCAGCCTTGGTGTGTGAAGCATAGAGGCACCTAGTTGCTGACCTTTAAGGATCCAATCCAGTAGATGTAATCAATCTCAATAAACATGTGTGCCCATTATGTATCAGGAACTTTTTATGGCTGACCCTGTTCCAGATAGAAGAAAAAGGCCCATGTCTTTTCTTGTTAGAAACATGAGAGAATGCTTTACAAGTATTTCTTAAAAGCATCAATGTTGTTAACACCAGTATTGTTGCAAATGCTCTCTGCCAATTAAGTGATGACATTGAAATGAATTTATCCAATGAATCATAGATGAAAGAGTTAAGAACCCAAGTGACCTTCCATTGCAAGTAAAAGGACTCACGTGTTTTTCAAAAGAATTAATATTTTCTAAGAAACCTGTTAGATTGATGTATTTACACGTACTACAACAAAAACCTGATACAAATAATTGTTTTGTACTTTGGATTTTAAACATACCTAAACTAAATTCACTGAGTAATTATAACATGATGCAGAGAAATAATAAAAACTACTTTTAAGGTTTTTCAATAGTGTGTATATGTAAACATACATATATACACATATGTATATACATATACCACAAGCCTTAAACCCTTTCTCAAAAATATTTCACATAAGACAAACACTTAACCAAAAGAAATACTTAAATTTAAAACCTCTTAGGGAATAAAAGTCACTTTAGATGTTAGCACCTTTCCCCTTACACTCCAATGGGAAGAAAATGCAGGCAAATTCTTGACAGTGCAAAAAAAAAATTTAATAAAACAATAACAATGCTCTTTACATAAATCTCAAACTTAAAATTATCTTATATATCTATATTCTTTTAAAAAAAACCGCAATTCTAGTTTTACATTCTTACAGGTAGGTTTCTGGAAATGCGTAATACATCAAAGCACGTTCTATTTTTTTTTATTTTTATTTTTTTCAAAGCACGTTTTAAAATTAAACCTCGGAGCTTGTTATTTTTGCAGTAACACCTATTACCGCAACCTAAATTTCGGAACACAGCTGTATTTCCTCTTAGGCCACGTCATTTTCATTATTGGAATAGATCATACAAGCTAAATATCAAAGCTTGATTTTAAACAAAACAGGTCAGCATGGAGACGTAAGTCAGATAAACTGGAGTAACTCACTAGCAGACCGCAGCTCGGTAGCCAAGCCCGGGGCTCTACTGCATATTTGCATTAAGCTCAATTTCACGAATTACAAGCAAACTGTTATTCAGGGTCCTCTAAAGCCCACATCAAAGCTTCAGAAAAGGGCTGTAAGGTAGAGTACTTACGCAAGGGTTATCAGGACACGAGACAACGCAACTTATCAGGGAGGGTCTCTAACGTCCAGAGGGTGGTAAAACGCATTTAAAAAAATCCATGTGGATTCAGACGGCCGCCGCCCCACACATCCCAGACAAAGCAGGGCCAGGCCCCAGGGTGCTCCTGGTGCACCTGCAATGCGGATCCCTCACCCTACAATCCCACCCCGGGGCTGGCAGGGGCGGCCCCTGGGCTGACCGCTCCTGCCCCGTCCGATCGGTTTGGGTGCGCGGTGCGGCGGGTCCGCAGCCTGGACCGGAGCCCGGGCAAGGGCATCCCCTCCCCATAGCGGGCTGGAACACGGGGGAGACCGCCGGCGCTGTCGGGGGGGCGCTGCGCCTCACTTCTGCCCTCGCTTCCACCTCTTCGTGTCTCTGTCACCCCCCCCCCAGCTGTTTCCGCACGGGGACCCCCGTCCCCACCGCCGAGCCCTGGGGGCGAGACGGGAGGACCCCCGCCCCCTGCGGCGAGGGCTTTTAAAACCATCTAATTCCCGTCCCGACAGGCGCTCCCCCCCCGCCGGCGCCCGCAGAGCCTCCCCAGAGGCACCGCCAGGTGAGCGGGGCTGGACTCGGTCACACCTCGGGCCCCGCCTCACCTGCGGGCGCGGCCGTCGCGGTCCTTCAAGCGGCTCCCCCCCGCGGCGCGGTCCTCCCGGCAGGCGGCTGCGGGGGCTGGCGGCCCATGGGCGGGGCGGCGGGCGGGGCTGGCTCCCGGCTCCGGCCCTGCGCCGGCCGGGCGGCCGAGGGAGGTCAGTGGGCGCCGCCCGCCGAACGCATCTCGCCGGCTCCCACCCGAGCGCTCGCCGCGGTGCACGCCGGGAGCGGGGGCCGGGGCGGCGAGGCCAGGCCGCGCTGACCGGGCGGACGGCTGACGCGGCGGCGGCGGCGGCGGCGGCGGGTCTGTCTGCGGGGCGGGGCGGGGCGGGGCGGGGGAGGCCGCTCGATACTCACTCCGCGGGGAGGGGGCGATGCCCCCCGTCCCCGAGCTGTGGCGGGGCAGGGGACGGGACCGAGGGGAAGGGAGGGTCTGGCCGGTGGGACGCAGGCGCAGAGCTCAGGTGCGGCCGCACTGCGGTTGCCCAGGGTAACGCGGGCCCGGGCGGGGCGGGGCGGGGCAGGAGGAGCGAGCGGGCGAGCGGGAGCGCGCGCGCAGGGCCGGGGTTGGGGGGGTACCCGGGACCAGCCCGGGATTGGGGGGAGGGCGCGCGCGCGGGCGGGCGGCCGGCGGGGGCGGGGGCGGGGGCGGGGGGTGCCGGGGCGCGGGCCGAGCGGCGCGCATGCGTGCGGCCCCCGCTCCCCCGGGGCTCGCCGGCCCCGTGCGTGCGCACGCGCGCTGTCCCCCGGAGGCGTCTGGGTGTGCGGAGCGCGCGCGCGCGGCTCGGAGGCGCACCTGTGAGGTGTCCCTTGAGGAGAGGGAGGGTGGGTGCGCGGAGTCCGCGGCCTGGGGCGCTTCAGCCCCTCACTTGGAGTGAGTTGTCTGGCGGCCGGGCTGCAGTCTGTTTCTTTTCGGGGACGAGGCGGGGGCAGGGGCAGAAGGGGAGCGGGCTCGGGGCTGGCAGGACGATGAGTGGGTTAAAGAAAAGAAAAACAACCCATCACTCGGGATGGGCCTGGGGCCGGGCCGGCCCCGGGGCGTCGGAGGGGAAGGCCGGCGCGCCCCCGCCCCCCCCCCCCCCCCCCGCCGCAGCCGGCCGGCCCTGCGGCCCCCGGGCAAGGCCCGGCGGAGGGCAAGCCCCGGCCTCGGGCCTCGGCGGCCGCCGTGGGCCCGCGGCGCCGGCGGCGGGGCGCGGGGGTCACAGATGGCGGCCGGCGGCGCGGCGCGGGGTGGGCAGCGGCAGGGGCGAGGCCGGGCGGAGGCCCCGCGGGAGCCGGACTCCCGAGCCCGGGCTCCATTGTTGTTGGAGCCGAGGGAAGGGGGAGCGAGGCGGCCGTAGGAGCCCGTGGAGCCGCGCCTTGGAGCCCTTCCAGGCAGGTCCCCGGAGAGGCGGTAATGGCCGCGCCGTGGGAGCGGGGAGCCGGGCCGTGCCGCGGGGGAGCCCGGCTGCATGGTGTGCTGTTGTGTTTTCGTAGAGCGCCCTGCGTCCCGGCAGAGCCCGCCGAGCATCCCGCCAGGTGATGAGGAGCCCTCCGCGCACCCAGCGCAGAACGCCGCTGCCGCTGGACGCCTCCATTGTTTGACCACAATAAGGGCCGGATTCTCACCCAGGTAAACTGGATGGCCGCGCAGCCGAGCTCCCTCTCAGCTCCCACATCCAAAGGAATCCTCTCCTCCTCTGTCAGGACCTGCCTTCAGTTCGCTTACTGTCCCCCGCTTCCGATTAACTCAGTAAATCCACCTCCCAGACATTTTCCCATCTGGATTAATCTTCCCGCATCTCTCTGCCAAGTCACCTCTCATTTCCCTCAAAACTCGGCTCCTTTGTGAAACCTTCCTTGCTGAACTCTAACAACTAAATTTCTCTAGGAGGAGCCTGCTCCGCACATTTCCGGGGGCTAGTTTGTGGACTGGTTGTCCTACCGCAATAAAGGAGACTAGGTACTAAAAAATAATTTAAGTTACTGATCTTTTAAAGGAACGTTTTGTGACAATTAGACAGCTTATTGTTTTTAACGGGATTGAACTTGGTTTTTTTTTTTTGTTGTTGTTGTTGTTGTTGATATATTTTGCCCTCTCTTTTCGAGAGCCTCCGACTTCCTTTATAGATAGATGCATAGCTTCTAGAGCAGAAAAAATGATTTTTTTTTTTGTTCAACCCGCAGGTTAACTTAAATTTTAAAAAAGAATTAATTTTGAATAGATAAAGTAGTACATTTTCTTTGTAAAAATTAAAACACCACAGACCTGTCTGAAGTCTTTCACCACCAACCCCAGAGATGGTAAACTATTACATGTTCCGTGTGTATCCTTTTAGATCTTTTAAAATGTTTTTCCGTTTGTGTACTTGTATTATCTTTGACTGTTTTAACAAGTACTACTGTACTCTTATCTTTCAGCGTATAATGCGTTAAGTCGTTTTGAAGAACTGCTGCATCATGTTCCGTAGTTTGGGTATACCATGGTTTATTTAGCTATTTCCCAGATTGGCGTCGGTTTAAGTTTTAACTTTACACTTGAAACCACTCTTTCAGTGGTGGTTCTCTGACGAAATGAAATTTCAGTGAAGGGAACGCAGATCTACACTAATTAGAGTAAACACAGGCCTTTAGGGTGGAAGTTCTCTTTGGTTGAGAAATTCACATGTGGGACCTCTACCCCTCCCCCAATGTAATTATGACTCTAGTACTTTCCAGCCCTTTGACCTTGAGGAGGACAATCACTCTAAACCTCAGTTTTCTTTTCTATAAATGCTGATAATACCTGTTCTGTCTACTCCACCGACTTCAGCAATATGATGTATGTGAAAGTGCCTTGCAGATTGTAAAGTAGTATGTAAATGTTGATTTTATTACCTTTTGTGATCCAAAAGGACTTTTTATTTGCAATGTAATTTATACATTTTTGACCAGATGTGTCTATTACAGAATAATAGATATCACCAACTTTGAATGCTTCTTAGTTTGTGATTTTTGCTATAATTTCTAAGTACTGTTAATACATTAGATTTTTTAAAGAGTATTTGGCAAAGACATTTTTCCTAGTGCTTTTACATGCTTTAAAAAAATAAGTTAGTTGATTTTGAATGAAGTTTCAACAAAATGAATGCTATATAAAACTCACGTATTTAAACAGCTTATTTCCTAGTGACATAATTCATATATGTATTTTCCTGTGGCAACGTCAGATTCAGGTTAGCTGTTAGGTCCTTGGGGTGAAATGTGTTCTTACTGAATTTGTAGGCAGTATCAGAGTTTTAACAATTTAAATATTGACTGATATGATGGGTATTGTTTAAGATGTCAGAGATACATTAAGGATTTTGTAGGTATTTTTATTTCATTCCAATATATATGAACGTGGCCAGCAAAATCAATTTGTTCCTGTTCTTTTGGAGTTCGTAATCTCTGGTGGTAGAGGTAACCAGAAATGAAACAATCCCTACTGCACGTATAATCACAAATGGTGGTATCTGTTAGAAAAGTAGTACTGGTTATCAGAGAGTATAAAAAGGGGAGCAAATTTTAGATTCTGAAAAGAAGACCTGGGAAAGACTTTTTTTTTTTTTTTTTTTTTCAAAAATGAGATTTGAGCTGAGATCTGAAGGGTGAGTAGGCGTTAGCGTATAGTGATGGGGGATAATTTTCCAGGCAGGGGAATGGCATGTGGGAAGGCCCTGAAGGGGGAGAACTTTGCCCATTCCAGGAACTGAAAGAATGACTTGTGGATAGATTCTGGTGGTGAGAGGGAAGTGTGGCTAGGCAAGGGGCCAGATCATGTAGGGTCTTGTAGGGCAAGTTAAGGATGTTTTATTTTATTCTAGTGAAATGGGAAACCATTGCAAGGGTTGGGTTGGAAGCAGGGGAATGACATAATCAGATTTGCATTTTTAAACAGCTACTCCAGCTGCTACATGCAGAATGTGGGGGTGTGGGGGGGGGAGAGTAGAAGTCGGGGAGACTAGGTAGGCCATTTCAGAAGTCTATCTGGAAGAGGTAATCTTTCCCTTGGAGTTCACATTGAGTTCAAAATGCCACCTAGACTATAGGCAAAATAGATGTTTGATTTAAAAAAAATCCTTGTTTCTTATTTTTAAAAAGTAAGCACTTTTTATGCTAAAGTTCACATAAGTGTTAAGCTAATTATCCACTATACTTCACAGAATGGTATCAGAGTCAAATTAAAAATTGGGGTATTATTTAATATGACTTTTATAAGTTTTATTAAAGAGGTAATACATGAAATAGAAGTGAGATTAAGGATCCAAAACGAGAGGAAGAGTAGTATTTGTAGCTGCTAATGGCTACAAAAACGAGAATAACAAAACTATTATACAAAGAAAAATCGAGGAAGTGACTAGGTACACAATGCATATATAAAACTCATAGCTTTCTGAATACCAAAAATAATTCGGCAGAAATTAAAATGGAAAATAAAACCAAAAAAACAGGCTCTGATCACAATGTAACGAAAAACATAAAACATCTAAGTACAGCTTTATCGAGACAAGTGCAGTCTGCATGGAGGACATCATAAACTATCCTGAAAGATAGGAAAGAATGCCTTAAATGAAAAAACAGGCTGTCTTCCTGGTTATGTTTAAACATTGAGCTATCCATTTTGGGGTGAACTGGACAATAATTGAGTAATGAGGTGGGACAAATTCTGTCTCATATTAAATATGTTATAGATCTCTGTTCAAAACGGTGTCATACTAGCTTTATAATATCTGTACAGGTTACTGGAACCTATTCAGCACCCCAAAAATATATGTGGAAATGTAGTAAATGATAAGTGGGTTCTGTGTATTGAGATGGGCAGGACAAAGATTTGGTAATCAGACCTGAACTAGAATCTTCTAAGTGAGGAAAAGAATACCTGCCATGCAGGTGTTTTAAGGGAAAGACATCTAGGTCGTGGCACCTCTGGGGTACTCGGATCTGTTATTAGTTAAAAATCAGTGTATTAGACTACAAAAAATTTAAGACTTCTTAGAAAACAAAACCCCAAGATTAGAAGCCAAACCACAAAGTAGGAAAATATTTGTGACAAACATAAGTGAAGGCTTAATATATTCAACATGTAAAGAACTCAAATCAGTGAGGAAAATAAGAAAAATCTGCACACAAGTGGTTACAGGATGTGGACAGACAGTTCACTGGATAGAAGTATAATTTGTTAAACATGTGGAAAGATGTGTACTGTCACCAATAATCAAATAGTTTGTAATTACTCCTCCAGAAAAGTTAGGTTTGATTTTGAAGAGCTACAGAATTAGAAGATGTTTAAAAATGAAATAAATGCAGAAAAGCTTTGTGAAGAAAAACCTTTACCTGAACAATTTAAAGGCTGACCTAAATAAATGGACATTATATGTGATTGGAAGTGAAAACATCATTGTAAGCACAAATACTCTATGAATTAAGCTGTAATTTTAATGTAGTTTCACATAAAACCCAGTGAGAATTATTTCTGGACACTTGATAAATTGCTTCTAAAATTCACCTGGAGGAGGAAATGTGCTAGAATGGCCAAGAAATATTTGAAATGGAAAAATAGTGATAGAGGATTTGCCGTATCAGATATCAGAATATACTGTAATGCTGCATTAATATAAATGGTGATTACAAGCATAGACAAATTGCTACCTGGAACAAAGTAGAATCCAGTAACAGACCCATTTATATATAGGAATTTAGGGTAGAATAAAGTTGATAATTTGACACAGTTGGAAATTCATTGTTCGATATATTGTATAGGGGATAAGTGACTTTGGGAAGAAAGATTTTATTTCCCCCCACATTCAAAATGAATTTTATTTGGATCAAAGAACTAACTCAAAAACAAAAGTGTAAAAATATTAGAAGAAAATAAAGAGAATTCTGTTGTAGGATATATTATGTTGGAAAATATTCTTTCATAGACCATTTAGGCAAGACTAAGACCCACAATCATAAGGAAAAGAGTGATAAATTTGATTACTATCAGAGTTGATATTTCTGCATGACAAAAGGCAATACAAGGTGACAGACTGGGGAAAAAGTTTGTAACATGTATAAAGAGGTAAAGAATAATAGTATTGACACAAATGAATGCAGGATAGGAATAATTCTTAGAAATGAGTCAAAGCAGTGGTGGGGAGGATTCAGTGTCACTTGTGGTTAGGGAAATGAAAATTAAAACAACTAGATTTTTTCAGTGGGATCTATCATACAAAAATTAAAAAGCTAATTAAGGGTGTGGAGAAAAAAAGCACATTGTTGGGAACAAAGAGTTGGATCTACCTTTTTCAAATAACAATTTGGCAGAACCTATAAAAAATTTTAAAAGCCTGCTCGATCTATCCCCATTAGGGATATTACAAGATAGTAGGAGCGAAGTCTGTTGTAGCATCATGTATAATTTAAAAAAAAAAAAAAGGAAGATAACCACAAATAAATTTTGGTATCTCTATACTATGGAATGTTATGTAGATTTTAAAAAAAGAGATTTGTATGCATTGACATAGCCTGGATGGATTCCTAGAATATATTATTGAGTCAAAACAAATTTAATTCCATTTTTTGGGTAAGATAAAAAAACCCAAAATATTCGTGTGTGTGTGTGTGTGT